CAAAGCAAAACCAATGTTACACCGTGTCTACACCGGACGCGAGTGGCACGGCGCGACAAAATACTATAGAACTCGTTATCAGTGATGCTGTCTACACTGGATGCGGCGCGACACGACAAATCCCTGACAGAAAACTGCTGCTGCGTTCTATTTATGATGTATTGACACAAATTTCAAATGATTTTCAACGGTCGCTTTGTCGCTTTGAGACACGGTGTTACATTTACATTGTCATTTAGCAGACGCTTTTATCCAAAGCAACTTATAAAAGCAGACAAAACTAACAAAAGAGCAACAATAAGTGCAAATGACAAGTCTCAGCCTAACGCAGTACACGTAGCAAGGAGTGTGTATAATACACACACACACACACACAAAGAAAAACAAGTAGATAGAATAGAAAAAATAGAAAGCTAGTGGGTTTTTTTTGTTTTGTTTTTTAATAAAAATAAATAAAAAAAAGATAAATATAGATGAAGTAGAATTCAAATATAATAGAAAGTGCTCGAGTTAGAGGGTCAAATAAAGGTGGAACAGATGCGTTTTAGTCGTTTCTTGAAGATGGTTAAGGACCTGAAGTAATGAATTTAGGTAAATGGCTGCAGAGCCAGTGGTGTTACTCACCTATCGAGAAGAAACAAAGCAACCTCGGTTTCCGATCACAGGCCTTCCGCTGGAAAGCTGATCCGATATTTACACTGGTCCTGCTTCTTGCCTCATCGTAAACCTTCTTTTGTTCCACAAACGTTTTCCTCTTTTATTTTTTATCCGCCATCTCTATCTTTCTGTCGCTCGGCTCGGCTAATGTCCGTCCTGTGCACTGCATGCTCTCTCTTCCACATCATGAGTAGACACGCCCCTTACTGCTGATTGGCTACAAGTTTGTTTTGCTACTCGGCCCGACTCAGTTTTCTAAAGCGTTTTTGAAAGAAATACATACCCCACCTTTAACAGAATAGCAGCAAAATATGTGCATTATGGTTTTAGTGTGGAAAAATATGCTTAGTAAAAGAAATAAAAACCTGTCACTATGACGATGCAATCAACCCTATAAAACTGTACTTAAACAGTTTTACAGTCCAAATAATGCACTTAACAGAAGAATTAATGTAAGTAATTTATGAAATAATTGCTTTTGAATCTTCAAAAGACTGTCCTTTCATTTCTGTTGCAAGTGCCTCAACGTCACCTCAATATTTATCTTTTTTTTAAAGAAAACAAGGGATGAGCCAAACTTATTTTTTGTGGTAATCAACATTACCCAGCTTACAATGACGCAACTTAATTTTTTAAGTGTTAAATAAAACAACGATTATTGTAGTACATTTTACAAATATTTCATGTTTAATTCACTGCTTACTATTTCTTTGTAATTATTAGTGAAATTACTAGCACTGAACCTGGAATGTTGCTTTAAATGTTTTAAGATCCTGTTGTTTTATTTTCCCACTCATTGCAGTCTAGCCAGCTTGCTAAACTAATGTAAAATTACCCTAAGGACAGGACTAAATTGAAATATCTTTGTAGAAAGTTCACATTGAAGGCATTTATACGCCCCAAATCACTCCTCACAGGACCGGCCTTTATGCTGCAGTCTTTGTGCTGATGTTCCTGTGGGGTGTTTGGGTTTGTCTGTGCTCCCCCTCCTGCTGTTCTCTTCGACCGGATCCCAGTGTCTCCTCACAGCTCGCCCCGCTTCGGAGGCCTTGTTAACGGGCCAATGTGTGAAAGCCCCACGACCTCTCGCTGCCCTCGCCGAGACTGGCATGCGAAAAAAAACGCAGCCCCTGCTAGTAGAAGTAGGAGTTCAGAAGTTCAGTGTGCAACCTGCTGACAATTCAACAGTTCTTCTCGTCTAATCCCGACCGCCTTTGCTTCTCTCTCCTTTACGCCCTGTTAACCACTGCCACCACGGGCTCAGCAGGAACAGCACCAGCGCCAGACCCTCGACAGAATGCGACCAAAAACCCGACAATCATCTTTCACTGGAAATGCACATGAAAGTGACCAGACTCCACGTGAAATATCTAGATTAATGGAAACGCCCTTTGCTTTTTCATTCATGGTCATGACGGAGATGGTGCTTGCTAACCAGAATAGTTTGCGCTCACACATCATTGCTTTTGAATCACATTTTTAAAAGATCATGCTGTGGTCATGCTAAGGAAATACGGAAACTACAAATCTATGTAAACAGTGGCCATGTGTGCCGCTCTGTGATTCACTTATTTGAATGGCCACTAATGTTCATTGTTTCACACGTGCGACCTGCAGTTAGCCTATTTAAAAGAGTATTAGGTCAATCAAAGTGCAATCAGTGAGCTTTCCAGGCCATGGCGTGTGCAGCTAACTGAAACTTTTGGGCGATTTTGATGGCCACGTCATACTGTGAATATCCATCTATCAACAAGTGGAAGCCATTTACAGCGGATGGTTTGTTCTGGCTTTGCTCTGGTCGTGTATATTTTAGTTGAATCATCCCATGCTGGAAAGACTTATTTCCATATTCCTAACATTTCTCATATTTGCACTCTGTCAGTACAAATATTATACAGTCAAATATTAGAAACGCCATTCAAGTGAACCATTACAGAGAATCGTTAGAGTGAGAGCAGTTCAAAAAGAGCGTTCTTGCGCTCACAATGACAGCTTTTTGCATCAGGGAAATATTATTCATGTTAAATCATGCCGTGTGAAAAAATAAACAGAAGTATGATAGCCTTGATAGGAAAGTCTTACCCATGATGTCACATTAAGTTTTGATTTCATGCCGTAAAAGTGATAGTTCATGTAAATATTGATATTTCTATTCGTAAAACTACAAAAAATAATAACATTTAAAGCTATATAATACAGATTAAAAAAAATATATAGAGAGAGAGAATGATGATTTGAGAATTTGTAACAGTAAAACAAAAAATAAACACTTTTTAAATTATTTTCTTAAGCATATTTGTTGTGTTACAATTACCTACACATTCTTAAAATGCTTTTATTTTCTCTTTAGCAATGTTTCAAGAACAAACCTTACTAAATTCTTTATCTCGTTCAAATTTGAATCTCAGATAAATTGATCTTTGCTTTATGGATTATTAGGCTATTATTAAAAACATGACAAAAAAATGGCAGCTTAATAACTGGAATGTTATTTTGAAAATAATATTTAATAATTACACGATGATTCTTTTTTTTTTAGAAAAAAAGAATCATCGTGTAATTATTAAATATTATTTTCAAAATAACATTCCAGTTATTAAGCTGCCATTTACTGAAGCTTGTGTAAATCCTAGTTACCACGGGATGTCAATCTCGACATCGAAATTTTCTATATATAGATTATGTTTACTGTATAAAATACATGTTTGTACTCTGCTTTTCTTACTAACTTTTCAACTACCCAACAACATTTTTGTATCCAACAAAGGAGAAGGTGCAACCATAAAACAAAATTTTTTTTTGTAAATGTAAAAAGGGAAAAGGTGCAACACTCACTCTTAAAGAATTACAACGTTATTGGTTAAAATAAAGTTACGGCATTCTTCAGACATCAAGAACAACACTGACACAAACTGCTTTACACACTCTTACAATCAGCAACAGCAAAAGAAAAAAAAAAAAGAAAGCGAGAGAAAAAGAGTCCTAACAAGAAGAAAAACATTTGAACATTTCAACATAGTAATAATATTTTGAAACCTATGAGTATTTTTAAACAGTTCACTTTCATAGAGTTCTTCATCATTAGGTCAGTTCTGACATGAAGGCTGGTCAGGTGTGGAAGCTTTTTGTCAGATTCAGACTGCAGGAGACAGTGTGTGAGAGCAGCTGCTTACACATGGAGACCTGAGCCGAACGTCACTACTCTGAATGATCACTTGGACTGTGCGCTTGGATTTTTCTGGGGACATTTGCCTGAAATGTAACGAAATAAGGTAAATTCATGGATTAACTTTATTTTTTTTCTCTTCACAATGTACAATTTATACAAATGTACTGTATATCATTTTTAAAAACAGACACAGTATTTTTCTTGTCTTTTCTGTATAGATTTATATTATTATTATTTGTTGTTGTGTGTACTTTTGGAAAGCCACTATATCAATTAATGATAATAATGATTATTATCATCATTAAAAATGTATGTGAAAGAGTTAGATATACTATTTTAACTGCTTAAAATATACATTTTAAAAAATTCACACGTCACTACTGTGAATGATCACTTGGACTGTGCGCTTGGATTTTTCTGGGGACATTTGCCTGAAATGTAACGAAATAAGGTAAATTAATGAATTAACTTTATTTTTTTTCTCTTCACAATGTACAATTTATACAAATGTACTGTATATCATTTTTAAAAACAGACACAGTATTTTTCTTGTCTTTTCTGTATAGATTTATATTATTATTATTTGTTGTTGTGTGTACTTTTGGAAAGCCACTATATAAATTAATGATAATAATGATTATTATCATCATTAAAAATGTATGTGAAAGAGTTAGATATACTATTTTAACTGCTTCAAATATACATTTTAAAAAATTCACAAAACTTTGTATACATTTATGCGAAAGTGGAAATAAGGGGTCATTAGAACCCATTGAATATTGCAATGCTTGCATTAAACATTTCAGCGGTGTACACGAATTTTCCAGGCCTGCTTTTTTACAGAAAGGCAGAAAGAGAATAGCTTTGTAAAAAGGTTTCCCAGTCATAATATAATTCAATGTAATAAGCATACACTACAGTACAGTAGAACATAGTCATTATTTGTGTATTATAACATTCAAAGCATAAACTATTCACAATATGTGCAGTTTTGAATTGTCCGGTTAAGTGAATTATTGAGCAGTTGGATGTATTTCTGTAACTGTAACTGACTACCAGATCTGTATATGGTCAAATCTCATTTCAGTAGCAGCAGTCGTAAATGTTCTTCAGGCTTTACGTGGAACAAAATCATAGGGAATGTATTTGTTTCCATTTTACTGTACATCGTGGATAGAATTAAGATAAACACAGGAGTAAATTAAGACATATTTAAAGAGGTCTGCGGTTTGCGGTTTCAAAGCACATTCCTTTTGAGAGCCACCATTTTTAAACACTTAAACCCTGAAGGATCTTTGATGGTGCTCTGAGATAGATGATCTGGAGCTCTTCCACCCCACAATTACCAGACATCATCTGCACATCTCTCTAGCTTTAACCAAAGACCTGAGCCTTTTGAAGCTCTGTGGAGGAATTCATGCAAAACAGAGATCCGACTGCTTTGCAAATTTGTCCCAGACCCGCACAATTGGCCAGATAGAGAGAAAAGCGAGGCAGAGAGATACAGTACTGTGATGATGTTCATAATAACGGAATTATCTTTTTTTTCTAAGACAGAAATGGAGAGGAATGGAAACCATACTATGAGGATGAAAATATGCCAGTGTTCAGCACATGTGAAACATTAAAAACTGAGGTAAGGCATTAAGTGCTTTAAAAAGGATGGAAAGATGTCTATTGGTATTAAACAAAATAGAAAGGGACTTGCTGTGTGATTTGTGTATAACTGATAAAGACTCGTATCATATATATTCTAGGACGATTTCAAAAGCAAATTTGAGGTCAGTGTCTGTACAATTAGAGTCAATAATGTTAGATTTTATGCTAGAAATGAGGGGCTGCAAGGGAGTGCTAAGGGGTCCGGGTAAAAGTTTAGAGGAAAAACAAAATACATTTAAAACTATTTTTAAATAAACATAAATATTTATTTATAAATATATTAATAAATAATCGAAATAAGATTACATTTAATAAATGAAATGTTTAATTTTCTATTAATAAAATATTTATTATAAATAAATAAACTGTCCAGTACTTTAGTGAGTATAGGGGAATAAAACGTAGTAATGTAACATAGTATAAATCTTTTTCAAATTATATTTTACACATTCATAATATTCATTTGTACAGTATAAAATACTGTAGGTCTTTATACATGAAATGAGGGGCTGAACGGGAGTGCTAGGGATTCATGGAAAAGTTAAGAAAAAAAATATTGTTTAAAAATCATTTTTATTTAAAAATATATAAATATTTTTAAATAAACAAAATCCTTTATTATAAATAATAAATAGGCTACATCTACATCATCTATGTAATAATGTAACATGATACAAACTAAATATTTTTTCAAAACATATTTACTCATAATATTAATTTTTACAATATAAATTGGGTCTTTGTACATGAAATGAGGGGCTGCAAGGGAGTGTTAGAGGGTCCATAAAAAGGTTTAGAGAAAGATGACAAAAAAAGTAAAAAAAAAGGTTACAATTAAACTAAATTAAACAAATAACAAGAATAAGCTAAACAAATAATAAAATGTTTGTTAAAAATAAATAAATACATTTAATAGTACAGTACCTGAGTAGCAAAAAAGAAAAGAAGTAATAATGTAACAAAATATTTCGCACATTTCTAATATTCAATTTTACATAAAATGTGTCTTTATACATGAAAATATATAGCTGCCATTTAGGAGGGGGATGATCATATTTTGGGGTTTGTAGCATCTAAAAGCTTGAAAACCCCTAACACCAAATATCATTCTATGCTACTTCTGCGGTAAAAATAACTTTACATTATTATTTACAGCGCACACGTACACTTACACACTTCACAGAACAAATTGCTCTTGTGTGTGACCTGCTGTGACTGACCTATCTGACACTGTGGAGTGTGGAGTGTGAGGTTCATGACGGACCGTTCCTCTAGAGGCGACAGCGTCACGTCTGACCGCTGAGTTTGACCTACTTAACACTGTGTGTGAACTCTCAGGTCGAGAACATGCGCACATTCACTGAGAGACTGCAGGAAAAACACCCGCATTACTACAGTCTTTAATGCCCTTCAGATGCATTCACAGCACACATGCCCTGCAGCTTCATTAAAGACTTCTCTGGCATTCAATTGTTTTCATTATGCCATCTGCCACGTTGAAAGAAAAATAAAAAGGTGGTGGAACGAGAGGAAAAAAAATACACATACTCTGTCGCCATCTAGTGACAATTTGTGCGTAGTATATCATGGTAGAGAAGAAGAGCGAAAAGGGTCATTTTTATTTATTTGGCATTCTGTAGGTGAATATGTGTTTCTTTTATATGCTATTTATATATGTTGTTAACCAACAAATAACACGTCTTGAATAATCGAATAAACTGTGAATGATTGATATCTATGCGACGCATGAGAATATCTTTTGGACTGGTCACCCTACTAACATTTCTGAATGCTATGAAGAGTAAGGGGTGAAAATTAGAAAATATCTGAAATTTGTAGATTAAATATTTTGTTAAAACATAATATGTAATTTACTTTTGTAAATAAATATAAATGTATATAGTGTGTATAATAATGTACAGTACCAGTCAAAAGTTTGAAATAATTCTGATTTTTTAAATGTTTTTGAAAGAAGTCTCTCATGCTCAACAAGGCTGCACTTATTTGATACAGTACAACAGTAATATTGTGAATCATTATTACAATTTAAAAGAACTGTTTACTGTAATTATATATAATAAAATGTAATTTATTCCTGTGATGGCAGCTGAACTTTCAGCAGCCAGTATTCCAGTCTTCAGTGTCACATGATCTTTCAGAAATGTTTTTAGTGTTTCTATTTTAAACAAATGCTGTTCCTTTGAAATTTCTATTTAAAAAAAGAAATAAATGCTGCTAATAACTGAGCAGCAGCATGTTAAAATGAATTCTGAAGGACCATGTGACACCGTGACCAAAGATTGGAGTAATGACTGCTGAGGTAAAACAAAAATATATATATATTACTATTTTACTGTACTTTTTGCTTAAATAAATGCAGCTTTGGTGGGAATAAGAGCTTTCTTCCCAAAAAAGCATAAATCTTAAATATTCAATATTTTTACTGGTATTGTAGGCTATACATACATTTATTTAAACATGTTATGTCCCCCCCATCAACTCCGCACCCCTCCCTTCTAGTTAGTGTGTAAATATTAGTGAACACTGCATGGGACCATGTGTGAATAGGGATGCAGCTTCTGATTCCATATAAAAGGTAGTCAAACTGTATTTGCAGAAATGGCTAGGCCTAATTTGATCAGCAGATGGAAGCATTGTCTTCATTGTTGACTTAAAGCACCTTTGTTCTTTCCTTGGGCCTGGACTGATTTACAAAACTAAGATACTACCGGTATATTGTCCTTTAATTTTTTTTTTTATCTGTTTTGAGGTGCTGTTTTCATCTTTAATTATCTTTAACTTAAATTCATTCTTCAATGCACACTACATATTGGTGAATTTATGATTCAACAAATTCTCATGCACTCAAGGTCTCAGTAAATCCTACTCACCAGCTTTCAGTAAGACCCATCCTTTACATTTTCAAATAAATTGAATCCACAGAAGAAGCAGAGGCATCAATCACACACGGTTTATTTTAAAGCAATACCACACAAATTGTACATTTTTATTTTATATTGAAAATATCAATTACAGTTTGCTATGAATTTCTGTAAGTTTAATACTTTGGTTCTTTCATTTTTAATGCTGTGTTCCAGTTATTTTGCTGATTGGGCATAAAATCGAGGCTGTGTGTGAACACGATACCCCAAGCTAGCTCAACTGATTCCAGAAGGGTGGACTGTGTTGAGATGAGGTCTGGACATCTCTTCTTTTACTCACCTCAGTCACAATCCACCCCTCATCCATCAATCCTAAAAGCTTCCATAACAGATGGAATCACTCATATAGCAACTAATCAGTTTTATGTTGATGAAAGGCAAATCCATCTGCACTCCTCTTTTAAATATTTTTTTTCTATATCCCTGTTTTGGGATCTATATCCCTATAACACTAGTTTGAATGATGGCCGAGTGGCTTCTGTGGAAGAATGGCCCCCTGTTGGAGTCGTTATCTGTGGCATTATTCTGGCAGAGCGATGGGCTGGACCCTGGAAGGGACAGCTGAGTCATTTGGCAGAGACCGGCGAGCCAATTGGTCAGGGAAGTTATGAGGACAACACTAGATTTGTGACCACCTTACAGCACTGCCCCCCCCCTGCAAGACAAAAATCATTACCAGCTAATAGCCCCTACCTAATGTATAGCACTCTATGTTGTTTTATGGCTAAAATAAATCACAATAAAACGACATGGCAGTGCTATCTTGTTGATTTGTAACTATTTGGAGCGAAAACATAATATTTTTTAGTTTGAGGGGAACAAAAACATGTTTTTGTTTTTTGTGAATCTTCCTGTAGATTACATTGTTATGCCAGTATGTGGCGACAAGTGAATTAATCCGATTCGCTCATTCTGCATTCAGACTTTGAAAACATTGCGAGATAAAATATGTGAAAACCCCTTACAGACTGACATACAACTACTACAACAGAGAGAGAGAGAAAAGAAAGCATATAGGCTATTTATGACCAAAAGTGCCTGTCTTTATGAATTACTCATTGATTCATTCACTCAACCGATTCGTTCAAAACACTGATTCATTCAGAAACAAAAGGTGTGGCTGTCTTAATGAGTGATTCATTGAATCATACGCTCAACCGATTCGTTCAATACACTGATTTAATAAGGACCGAAACAAGTAACTGAATCAAAACAATGATTTATTCAGAAATGCCATTACGGTGTGTTGCTCAGAGATGTGCTTTATTTGGAACTATTTTTGTTGGTGGAACAATAATTAACAAAAAAACTGCAATATTGTGTCTAAAATGTAAGTAACTGCAATATCACTCGATTGCTCGGAATGATTGGTGTGACAGCGTGTAATTTCCTGTAAAGTCATAATATAATTCCTCTGTAAAAATAAATAAATAAAATACATTAAAGAAATGACATGTAAAAAAGAGGCTATTTCCAACATGTTTTGCCTGATATAGATGTTCAGATGATATCGGCTTTAAACTCAGATTCCCACACGGCGTCCTACTCTTCTCATGGCAGTTTCACTGGACTTTTATCTGAGAGCACACAGACACAGCTGTGCACTTCGCTTCAACAGTAAAATGGCTGTCACATAATATCAGTGAGTTCTCGCCCTCACAGGCTGTTTCTATGTCTCGCACTGTCAGGGCCTGTTTCTACAGCTGCTGCTGCTGCCCGAATCCACACAAACAGCTCACAGAAACCGTACTTTTGCAGGTAGAGAGGCAGATCTGCATTAATAGCTGACGTTTTCTCCTGCACTATAGTGACATTTATGACTTATGTAGAGGATTTCTGATTACGCATACATAACATAATATTTATTTATGTAAACAGCTCTGGTGTGATGTAGGCCTATTGATCTGCGAATATCTAAATATCTAAATTTTAGATGAAGCTAAATATCCAATAGTATGTTTTTGTGATTTAAAAAAAATGATATCAATACAATTAATTAAATCTCAATTAAAACTTACGAAAATGTGCCTTTTTTATGAAAGTGCCATTAGTTAATCTTAAGTGATAGACCATTATTAATGTATGCTGTTAAAGTGAGAACAGCCTTTCGCCATATGAAGTTAAACCGCATAAGCCATACAGATGTTCAGATGATAAACACTTACTAGAAGTAGAACTGGATCCTTAAAGGATACAACCAGCCACATCGTGTGATGTGAGATGCCCTGTACGGCAGAGCTGAAAGCTCTATAGGAGAGCAGTGTGTCTGTGTGGAGGATATCTGGAACTGCTGGGAGTCAGAGTGCCAGATCCCTCGGAGGCAGAGTCAAGCCACCGAGATTGTGTGCCAGGATCACTGCGAGACCGTCCAGCTTCTCTGAAGTTATATTGGGCTGAAAACTCATGCTGCAATCTGACTATTCATAGGAACTCATTATAGCGTATTAGGCATTAGATCATAAAACACAGAAAAATGCATTTTTAGCTTATCATAAACACATACATGGTGTATTTACCCAGTTTTACAATCCAGACAGATGCTGACACCATGGCCCCATCTGTGGCTTGCCATGTGTTACCTAGCATGCTTGTTTTTCTACAGTCTGCTGAGACCCAGAGCTAAGGTGACCAGACGTCCTCATTTTGCTGGAGCTGTCTTTGGAAACATTTTGTACTGTGCATTCTAAACAGCTCGCAAAGTGAATCAATGCTAAATGTAGCAATAAAACGGCCTTCAGGATATTGCCTCAACCGTGTGCTGTTTGTTTTGAGCAGTAGAGGAAGCTTCTCACTATAGCAGCCTCAAGTTGACCGTTGCAGTAGTTTTGCCATTGAAATCAATCTGAAGTTAAATGCGGCTTTTCACTGTCTGTCGAGCTGCTTTGCATACTGGTGCATAAAAAGTACGGAGCATACTATTTATATTTTTTGAAAAAGATCCTATAGTTTTTACTTAATAGTTTTGTTTTTAGTTTCTGCACCAAGGTCCCACTGTAAGGAGGTGGTAAAGTTCAGAGAACAGTAGTATAAAAATATTATATATATATATATATATATATATGTGACCCTGGACCAGAGTTTGTAACCCTTTGTATCCTATGGCCCTTCATTATAAAGAGAAAAATCATGGTAGCCCAAGTACATTGAAGATAATCGGAATAGAACATGTCCCCAGGTCAATAAGAGGAGGTGATAGGGTCAATAGGCTTTTACAGAGAGAGTCTTTTTGGATCTATACACTGAAAACAACTAAACTTCCAGGCTTAAATGGAGAATTAGACCTGGTACCTTTTTTGTAATAAGAATTCAGATTTGGAAGCATTATATTGGTGATCTTTTTTTTTCTTCCCTCCTTTATATACATGATTATATTGTGTTTGATTTAATTTGATATGTAATCGTCAAACTTCCTCTCTATTGTTTGTCCTGTGTAGAACAACCAGGTGATTGTTATTTGACTAATTAACTGCTGCTTAAAATGAACTCCGATTGTGTTTGTTACTCACACCCTGAAGAAGGCAAAATAGCCGCAATGCGTAGGTGTGCACTTGTCACCTGTTCTTAAAACTTATAGCCATGATGAAATAAAGGCTTTTAAAAATTTTTTGAATAAGATTCGAGTGCCTTGGACTACCATTATTCTTACGATATAAAAACTTTATTTTTGATTAGTAATATGCATTGCTAAGGATTTCATTTGGACAGCTTTAAAGGGATAGTTCACCCAAAAATGAAAAATACCCCATGATTTACTCACCCTTAAGCCATCCTAGGTGTATATGACATTCTTCTTTCAGACGAATACAATCTGAGTTATATTAAATAATGTCTAGGCAAATCAATTGAACCAATCCATTATAAAAGAAGTCCACACGGCTCCGGGGGGTTAATAAAGGCCTCCCGAAGCGATGTGTTTGTGTAAGAAAAATATCCATATTTACAACTTTATAAACCTTAATCTCTAGTTTCCGCTAACTGTTGTACGCTCATTCATGAGAGAGTGGCGTCCAGCGGATGATGTATGACGTAGGCGTAGCATAAGCTCCGGTGAGAATATGCTAGTTTCTCGAGAAACAAGTTTTGTTTACAGCAAAGGAAAACCAGTGTCCTCTTGGCTTATATCAAAATCCTCCGACATTTTTCTTTACAAATCCTCGTTTTGTACTAGTAATTATTAACCGGTGTTATGTTTTGCTCTCTCCTCTGCGCTTCCACATTCGTCACTTCCGCGTTCATCACCGCGTTTGCCTATGTGCTACGTCATCCGCTGGACGCCCCTCTCTCGTGAATGTGTGTATGACAGTAAGCGGAAGCTAGAGATTAAGGTTTATAAAGTTGTAAATATGGATATTTTTCTTACACAAACATAATTTAATACTGAACTCTGAACAAAACTGATCAACTGAACAAAACGATTGTATTCGTCTGAAAGAAGAATGTCATATACACATAGGATGGCTTGAGGGTGAGTAAATCATGGGGTAATTTAAATTTTTGGGTGAATTATCCCTTTAAAGGCAATTTTCTCAATATTTAGATTTTTTTGCACCCTCAGATTATATCTCAGCCAAATATTGTCCTATCCTAACAAACCATACAACAATGGAAAGCTTATTACTAGCTTATGACTGGTTTTGTGGTCCAGGGTCACACACACATATATATATATATATATATATTGGTATATGCACATGAATTCTTTTATTTATCAAGGATGCATTAAATGGATCCAAAGTGACAGTAACGATATTTACAATAATACATATTAAATAATAATTTAAATATAATGGATGGATAAAATGGATGCTTTGCCATCACAGAAATGTTACATTTTAAAATATATTAAAATAGAAAACACTTATTTTAAATTGTAATAGTATCTCGCAGTACTGTTTTTATTGTATTTTAAACAAATAAATGCAGCTTTGGCGAGCCTTCTTTCAAACACACACACACACACACACACACACACACACATACAAATCTTAATGACATTTACATTACATTTTAGAAAATGGGTACCTGGCAAAGTTATTTTATTAAAAAATTATCATATTTTGGGGGCCCATGGCATTAAAAAGTTTAAAATTTATGATGTGGATGATGCATGTTTTTATCAGTAGCAAAATAGCAATTCGCTATAATAACTGACAGCACTCACATTTTGTTCTGGATGTGTGTTGCCATCATCATCAGTCAGTGAGCATTAATGGGGAATAAGGCTGTCATGAGTCTTTAAATGTGCCATCAAAGTACTGCATTTACCCAGAGCAACTAGAATTATCTTCTCAAGCAGTTTGTTTAAGTGTTCCCACGTCCCTACAAAGCTGACAGGATGTGGTGTCGAGATGTCCAGGTGTGTCTTACTACATGTGGAATGACAACACAGGTGGACAGATAAAAACAGAGTGGGTGAGTGCATTTCTAATGGAGCATATACAGACTTAAAGGCTTTCAACATGTAGCTGGTTAGCATCTATCTGCTATGCAGTCTTACTCTTCAGGAATCAGGACACAGTTTGCCAGTGGTAATTACATGCCTGTTTGCTAACATCTAATTCAGAGAGACAGCATAAGAGAACGAAACGGAGAGACAGAGGGAGAGAGAGAGAGAGTTTGGGGTGGTGGAGTGAGAGTAACTAAACGTAAAAGAACTAAAAGTGAATAATGACATATCATGGGACACTCACACCGCTCATGGGCAAAAAAACTGAAATCCCAGAACTAAAAGGACTGCAACAGAGACAAATTCGATTAGCCAAGTGAAGTGGAGCAGCCATGGGAGTGGATGTGT